CGCTGAAGTGGAGTAACCAGTGGCGTTCTGCGTGAACTAGCCTAATTCACTGTGACTAGAGTAAAGCCTCAGTGCGCAAACTAAGCCCTCGGTATTCAAGTCGATCTTAATCACCATGCTTAACTACCGTCATGAGTCGTGAACCATGACTGAAAAGCTTTGAACTCAGGTAGCTGCTAAAATAGGCTTTCTTAGACGAGTCGCTGGCCTTACGCGTCACGACAAGGTCCGTAGTATAGACATCCGCGAGAGCCTTAGTGTGCAGACGTTGCTTCTCGAGATTGGGAAGTTACAGCTGCGATGGTTGTGGCACGTGTTGCGAATGCCTCTAGAAAGGAAGGCTAAGCAACCGTTTCTTGCCTAACAGACCGGCAGAAGATCGAATGGACGGCCAAGATTAACTCGGTGGAAATATATGGAAAAAGTCTGTTGCAGACTTGTCCAGGCAGATGAAAACGAAGATGAAAAAATCTTAAGCGGCAGATAAACAAAGCGCCATAGTTTGAAATAAACTGTACCGATAAATCGATAACGTCGAAAAAATTTCTAGTGTAGTAATTTGAGAAGCCGAGTGAAAATCAGATCAGCAAGACTCATAAAATGGCGTCCTTTCGCCAGTCAGCTTAAGCACTGTAACTTCGAAGACGACTTAATACCGAGAACAATGGCTGCTATCCCACCGGCCTTTTCGACATTCTGCGTTTTTTCGAGGAAGGTGCAGTCGCCTCGTTCGACCACAACAACTTTTCCGGCGAAGAGCAAATCGTTCTTCAAAGCACAACACGCTCGAAACGGCGTCGCGATTGCAACCTTTCCAATAACCTGAAATTACACAGTATCAGAAAACATGATTCAAAATGATCGCATTCAACGAACCCCGAAAAAGAGATTCGTCAGGTCCATTCCAAAATGGGCCGGAGATGCGTCGAAACCAACGTATCCATAAAATGGCGACGAGACCATCTGAACAAGGAGCGCTGGGCGAGAAACACCTAAACGAGAAGCATAATCATTTTATCGTTTAACTGTTGATCGCAAGAAAAGTCTGTGTTGCAGAAACGACAATTCATAGGTTAAGGAGAAGGTTAAAAGGATAGAAAAATATATAATATACGTGAAGTTTTTGGAACTTACAACGATGTTCTTTCTTCAGCCCAAATAAACAATGTATAGAAAATATATCGAAATCACACAGATCAGCAGGTATATTGGCGTTGAATATAAACGTTAAGAACTTTCTTCTACTGTGAAGCATGCTATCAACAACCTACACCACACTCATGGCACAGACATGGAGATGTTAAACGGCGAAAATCCCGATGCCGGTCTTACGATACAAAAATCCGACGTCATTAAAGCATTTCATGCAGCCTGAAACGATGAATTAAACTTCAAAAACCATTAATCTAGTCAGATAATCATACAACCTAACAGTTCAATTTCTACTATCTAATCCGTTTTTTCTCCGCAATTTTTCATCGTTTTTATTTTTCATTTCTTCATCTTCATCTTCCATCGCCGCTTCTCCTTTCGGGTCGCGGAGGCAGACGCGTCAGACAATGCTT